CTAGCAACAAGAAGCTAGTAGGTGGAGGCCATTGCTATTAGGTTGGATGCCAATATATAATGCTAGAAACAATAAGCTAGTAGGTGGAGGCCATCGCTATTAGGTTGGAGGCCATTACTACTAGGAACAAGAAGTTTCTAGCAACAAGAAGCTAGTAGGTGGAGGCCATTGCTATTAGGTTGGAGGCCATTGATACTAGAAACAAGAAGCTAGTAGGTGGAGGCCAGCGCTATTCGGTTGGAGGCCATTACTACTAGGAACAAAAAGCGCAGCTACTAGCAACAAGAAGCTAGTAGGTGGAGGCCAGCGCTATTAGGTTGGAGGCCATTATATAATACTAGAAACAAGAAACTACTAGTTACTAGTAACAAGAAGCTAGTTTTGTTGATGCCGGACTTTCAAGTTAGACGATCGTCACAGTGTGGATGCCGTGGGTTCTGTTGACCGCAGTCAAGTCTGGACGGTCTGACCGCCTACAAGTCACTGTCCTTCGGTTTCTGCTCAGTTTTTAGAGAGGCAACAAGAATTGGAAACATCTTGGAAGCAACAGGATTCCCCTACGGCCACACCTGTTTTCTTGGAGTCCAGCATTATGGCATATTATGGCCATGGCCACACCTTTACCTGCTCGAATTCACTACTTAGTTAACGATGCAATCCCGCCCATGTCCCACCCCGACACAAAAGGCTACCTTGGTGATATCAAGCTGAAACGCTACACTTGATTCTCGGAGTCATCCCTTACAACGGATGTATAATTTGTTTGTTTGTGTTGCTCAACTTTGGAGATCTTTGATCAGCATGTTTTTGTCACATTGACCCATGGCCAAAGGCTCCTGTTTTTTGTTTGAACCAATCTGAGACCATTGATATGCCTGGCCAAGTAAAGAGCCATTGCCAGCTGCTAGGTCACAGTCGGTACATTGGATGCCGAATGCATCGTTTGATCCGGCATCGTCTTGTTATGTCATTGGTCCTGGTATTTGGTATCTTTGCAGTGAAAGCAATGTACCACCCCCGCTCCCGGCCGTCGGCGAGCTGTTGTGGAGCGGATCTTGACCGGGGACGTGGTGCGGATTAGCCCCGGATGTGAGACTGTGGGTCCACAGCCAGTGGAGTGCGCATCAAGAAGGACCGAGGTGATTTACGAGAACCCTTGGATCAACTTCTATCCCAGTTGACCGATTCGCAAGATCCACTTGTCACATCTTGCCATTTACTTCCCACGGGGTCGCGGCTCCAGTTTTGTTGTTTGTTCAGGCATATACCCCAAGAAAATGCTCAGCTCACCTGACTGGGTAAAGAATAGCACAGCTGTGGGATCTTCTGGTAAAATTGGAAGTTAAAAAGATCCGGGTGCTGAGACCATACAGAATCTCATTGTGGTCAAAAAGGGGAGAACTTCGGGACAGCCGAGGCCTAGCCAGGCGTCCCAAGAGGTAGGCCGCCGGCGAGATCACGCCGCCCTCAGGCCCGAAGACGCCACCTGGAGCGGGGGAAACCGGAGACCGAGACCAACCAGGTGGGGTGGTAGAGGAAAAAACCTCTTTCCAAACTAAAGAGAATTAAATGCTGTAAGGTATCATTTAAGGTCTATCTATTTCCAGGTTCCATGTGTTTTTTTTGCCGTGTGCAGTTTTTGAGCGTCATCCATCAGTTTTGGAGGCCTTAAAGCCATCCTGTATGGGCGTACATATGGTCCCGCTTATGTCACGTCCCTTGTTCATTAAGAACTCGACATGGCAAGACGCCAAAGTCAAGTAATACAAGGCAAACAAATGGATATGTAAAATATATACAAAATATATCCTCCTTACCAAGCCTTACCTTACGCCTTGCCCTGTGAATTCTGCAACTTATAAACAATTAGGGCTATAAAATGGAAATACTAGCAATTCTATTTAGAGAATGAGTTACCGACCTTTTCAAGAAATGGCCTAACCAGCAGCTGGAAAATAGTCAGGCAACAAACTGGAGGAGAGACCAATCACAAGAGTTTGTATAAAAAGACATAACCAAACACAAGATTCATTTTCTCAAATTCCAGCTTTTTTAAAATGACTTAACCGAACTCTGGAGAATCTCTTTTTCCATGACTTGCGTCGGAGTTTGGTGACTCGTGTTGCTCCCTAGCAGGAAAAAAGCTCGCTCTAAACCAAACCGGCAGTGTTTATGAATGACTTAACCGCAGTCCACATGGATGCTTTTCTGTGCTCACACTCTTGATGTGCCTCCAAACCTGTGTTCTTTATTATAGAATGACCTGCCAACCTAGGCATCTTACTAAAATCCTCTATTCCGGAGTCCCACCCTTTATGAAGTGGGCCCCCGGTAACCCATTCTGTAAAGGAACAGGATCCCCATGTCATAAAGGATAAGTCATGGAGGATCAAAAAATGGTTGATCTGATCCATCGCAGGTCAAAAGGTGGTGATGTCGGGAGACCCCTTCAGGATTCGAGTCGTTGCTCCATCCAAGAACAACCGACTGAGCTAACGTTTATATAACTCGCTGTGCGCCCGGACCATGGTAATTCTCCTTCTGAGGGTGAGGGACCACTGAGATGAATGTGGCCTCAGGCGGCATCGTGTTGAAAGAAAAAGCATGTCGACAGCCTCCGGGTTGCAGAGTGGCAGTCATGCTTTGAAGAACATGAAGCTCAGCCACCCAAAGACCAATTCCAAAAACACAAACCGAGAGGTCGCAGAGTTGGCCGTGTGCTGTTCCTCAGAAACAAGCATGCAGCATGAGGTTTAAAGCCCATTGGTTCTCCAGCGATACCCATTGTGCCGGTGCACCAGGACGCAAGGATGACAAATTAATGACATCAATGTTAATACAGGGTCCCGCACCAGTAGGCCCTATATCTGTCAAACTGAAACTCTTGCTCGGGATTTGGATGCAGGTCCAAAGTGCAACACCATTTCGCCCATGCACACGCCAAAATGATCCAAAATGCTAGATGTTGGCCCAATTGTCTTGTCGTCCTGGTCTTTTCCGTTCCAATTTCGTTCAACATCCTTTAACCACAAAGGGAACATAAGTTCTCAAATGAGTTCTGAAACCTGTGGACAGCCCAACCCTGATAGACCAACCCTGCTGGCAGTAGAATTCACACATTATCTTGGTCCAGAAGTCCCGGAGGGACAAGGAGTCGGAGGGAGGCTCATCGGGCTCTTCACTTCTTCCACCAACGGGGACCTCATTTTCAAGTGGTTGAGAAGTGGATCGTCGTCTAGGCGACCAGCATCTTCAATGATTCAACCTCCCCACATTTTCTCCAACTTTTCCTCAGCTGGTGCTTTTCGGTCTTATCGGTCATCCTTAAGCTTTGCGCTCAAATCACTTTGCACAAGGCCTGGAAGGACCTTGGACACCCGCTCTCAACAAGAGCCGAGCAGCTGAGATTGGGATGCCGCTGGTGCTGCGCCCAAAGACATTGCCCATGGAAATGTTCCAACCTCGCCGGCAACTGACTCTGACCACTGACCAGCAAATCGCCGGCAACAAGTCTTGTTTTTTCTTACAGTGGTTTGATAGGCTCGATGGCACAGACCTTAGTCGATGTCCTTTACATGTGGGTTCACATAAACCACCTCTTGGAGCCTGCATTTTTGGGAAGGTGGAAGATGGTGGAAGAAGGTTTCACAGCGGAAGGCCGCTTCACATCACATAGCACCCACCCCTCATGCCATGAAACGCCACGGCCCAAGAGGCCGAAATGCCAACCCAAGGCGAAGCCTGCGACGTGCCAGCCCACACAGCGGGACACGTTGCAGCGTAACACGTGACTTCATTGCTCCAATGCGACATCTGGCTGAAATCAATATGCACACAAAGCTGGAAATGTATGAAATCAAGATATATCATAAGTGCAACCAGCAGAACACCATCAATACCGTGGCCTCCGCTACGCTAGGTGGTGCCTCCGTTCCCTGTTCCACCGATCGCCTAGGCGACCGCTCGTCAAGAGCACATTGAGACCGCCAGCAAGGCCACCCACAAACAAGTTCAGCCTAGGCTGCCGCGTGCGGCGACCCGCGCACGCAGCGGAGAAGCGGAGGGACGACGTGGGGATGGAACATGGTCGGGGAGTCCGTGTGAGATGCAGGAGGTTTTGGGAAACCTTCTCAACTGCCGTTGCCTGGAAAAGTGGTCTCTGGGGCATACCCGACATATCCCTGTAGAGAATATTCAGCTGATTCTAGTTCTGGAGATAGTTGGCTACTTCAACATAGGTTGACGAGCTCTGGCATGAGCCACGGCACCTTTCATCCTGTACAGTACTTCTCCAGGAGAGGCTAATCTCTCTCTCTCTCTCTTCTCTGCAACGATCAAGGTGCTCATTTTGCTAGGGATGTTGCTCAAACTGTTACAGGCCCTGGGCAGGGTCCAAGCTGCTATTATAGAAACAGCCGTTAAGCTGCAACTCCTGTTTTGGGCCGCGAGCTGCAAAAGGTGAAGTCATGACATCCTACTATGTGCAAGGTACAAAGTGTACATATTACATGGAGTGAAAATACACCCCCCTCAGCTAAGGTAGCTTTGCTCCCGAAGCTGGACGCGGAAAGTGCACGAGGGCTAGTGCAGGGCACGACAGTGATGTCGGCTCGAAGCTGCATGGCAGAGTGGATGCTAGCAATCCACTGCCAACGTGGCCCTGTACGTGCATTTTAATTATTCACTCCCCGCCGCCAAAAGAAATTGAAAGTTTGGACTTGGGAGGAAAACCGCATACATTTTGACAATGGATGTCATGCAATGAATTATGCTCGCTCAGGCAAAAAGGTTGAGACTTGGCTCAACTAACGCCAATGCCACTGGCTCCGACTCGAGCTCCAGTCCCACGAACGGCGGTCCCACTGCCGCTGCTCGCCCCACTCGCTCCAGTTCCATGAGCTCCATCCCCACGAGGACGATGCTGATCCGGATGCACGTGGGCTCACCGGTGAGGGTGGCGGACCTCCTTTTGCTTTTGAAGCTGGAGTTCCATCACCTCCGGTAGAGGACTTGCGCTTGCCCTTGCTTTGCTGCTGGCGCTGCTCTTGAGTCTGCTTGTTGACCACGTCACGCCTAGCAGCGGAGAGGTTGTCATGGCATAGCTGGCGAAGCTCCTCCAATGCGCAGTATTGGCTCATCTGATGCACGCCGTCCCAAGCTAAAAGGCCACGATGGGAGTCAGGTGAGTTGATGTACTCGATGTACTCACGCAAGGAGAGAATGTTTGTGCGATAGATCACGCACCATTGCTCTGGAATGTAATCCATAGCTTGTGGATAGCGATCGGGCACTACGTCGATGTAGGCCAGCCGTGCCAGAGAATGATCTTCGTCATATCCAAGGCCCAGGCTGACTTGCGCTTTGTTGCGCGGCGGGTTCGCCAAGTGAGCATGGCAAAGCCAATCCTGCCGCTGCGCTGCCCGATAGTCATAGCCCATTTGCAGCATTCGTTCCATGAACTGGACGTCATGCTCGAAGCGGTCCTCGATGCTTTGGAAGCCACACTTGTCTGCACGCTTCATTCGGCTGCGAGCATCTTGGATCATAATTGCTTCTGGGCTCATGTTTCCACGGCCGCTTGCAGACACCACACGCAAATTGAGGCCCGCCTTGATGTAGTCGCTGACTGGGCACTCAGTGCGAGCGAGGCCGGCCCTCGCAAGCTGCTGCTTTCGGAGAACTGAAAGTCTGGTGACAGCTTTGCTTGCAGAGTCGAAGGTGCAGCCTTGCTTGCAGGTGCTGCTTTGCTGGTTGCAGTCAGGGAAACAGGCATTGCTTTTGCGGTTGGCCGGGGCTCGCCAGTGATGGCGGCCCGGCTCTCACCTCCATCCGCTGGTGCTGCCTCAGGTAGGCCTACGGCACTTACCCTGGTCCAGAGTGTGGACTGGCTTTCGGTGTTTTCGACGGAAACGATGTATTCTGGAGGTACCGTGTCAACCGTCATGATTCCACCGGAGCGGTTCTGGAAAAAGATGAGACCGCCATCGACTGCTTCCCGAAGTGCAACGGTAAGCTGAATGGGGTGCTTACCGCGGAGACCGCTTTGATAGTCGGTCTCCGTAATGCGACTTGCAGCCAGGTAAGGCTCGATCACTGCCAACAAACTCGCCCCCGCCTGGGATGAGGCCCTCCTTGATGATCCGCTTCCAGCATGCTGGCCTTGTGCGGTGGTAGGCCAAGACAGGGATCTCATCCGCTTTGGCAATGGGCTTCCCAATGAAGGGAGCTTTGGCTTCTGGCCTGAGCGCAGGACTGCAGTACATCAGGGCTGCCGATCTGTAGTTGTCCTGTGCGCTCTTGATTGCGTGCTTGCTTTGGCCAGCAGCGGCACGCATCTTCAGAGGCCATAGTGCCACGCCCTTCTCCTCGAGTTTGTGCCCTTCTCGAATGCCCAAAAATTCGAATCGGTTTTTCTTGTCCTTTGCTGCTATGGCGATCAAGTCTTTGACGGTGAGCGGCGGGGCACTGCGGTGATTCAGGCCGAAACACCTGGCTACTTCATCCAAGTCTGCGTAGCCATCTTCGTCGACCTCAAGTCCCAGGAATTGGTCGTGTTGTCGGACGACCTTGGATAGCTGGGTGAGCCAATCCTTGAGGGGTTTCGCGAAGAAAAGGTGCCCGCCATTGAGCTCCCACCCGCTCGCAAAGTGGAGCGGCAATTGCTTGTCACCAAGCTGGACCACTTGCTGGAAAGCGCCATCGATCTCGGCCATCCGGTATGCATACTCGGGATATTGATCTGCAAGATACTGAGGGCACACAACGTGGCCTTCAGCAGCAGCCGGCGGCGATGAGGGTGCTTCAGGCTCGGGCTCACCCTTGACGGTGGCCGAACCTTCTTCGCCATGAGGTGCGCTTTCATCTTCAGGTTCTTCTGGCACAACCTCTTCATATGGCGATACCTCCTCATCATCAATGGCATCAATGTCGAGCCATGCTGCCGGGTTCTCGCCGGTTTCAACACGATGGCTGAGTTCCTCAAGCGTCTGGAGCCGACCCTCATAGGTTTCTCGGCTGATGTCCAGCTCTGCAGCGATCTTCTCCTGCTCTTCCTCCATGACATCTCGGCGTTGCTGGAGGATCTTTTCTGCCGTGGCGTCATTTGCGACGAAAATCTCCGAAAGGTCTGGATCATTTTCCTCCCCTTCGGGCTCGTCATCGATGACGGCCATGTCTGCCTCGGTAATCGGCGCAGCTCGGTTTGGCTGCTCCGCAGCGACGTCCTTCTTGGTAAGGGCGCGAGCGGTGAGCTCGGCTGCGGCGATTGCCCTTTTGTGGCGGACATCGGCAAGGTTTCGAAGTAGCTCTTCGTATCGCTGATGTGGAGGGAGGCGATCATCACGAAGTTCCCACCAAGCGGACGGTTCATCGGACTGGTGGCAGCTACTTCCAATGCGATATCTCCGAGAACGTAGAGTCTCATGAGCAGGTGAAATACACTCTGACAAAAAAAGAACATATGATTTGCATTCTCGTCTGATTTTTCGCAATGCCATTGGTCACGCAAGTTCATGCGGGTGTTGAGGACGTTGATGTTGACTAGGCGGAAGCGACACTTACCGATCTGGGAACCATACACTTCGTCTTGGAACCACTGACTCAGCCGGTTGTACCAGTCGCTGTAGGGTCCCAGCCGCGTGAAGTTGTAGGTCTCAGGATCGGGCGCGCTGATGAGAGCGGCCGAGTGCACACCGTATCGGAACATATCGGCGGCAAACCCAACCAGCTCTTCTTGCACCTTCTCCTGTAGCTCCATGTAGTGGTCGCCGTCAGGATGATCGAAGGGCCATGAAGTCTGAGCTTCAATTCCTTTCTTGCCGATGAGCTCGTTGCCGGACCATACCACGCCAACCAGCAGCATGCAGCCTGGAAACTGGCGCTTGAGGTTCCTCACGGCAATACGGGCTCGTTTCAACAGAAACGGCAACTCTGCACCCCAGAGGCATTCGTGATGAAAATGCTTGCAGTAAGTTGGACGATAGGCCTGAAAGTGGTCGGCCAGATCGAACCTCTGGGGTTGGCGTTTCGAACCGCTAACCAAGCACAAGGTGGAATCGGAGATCAAGATGTGTACCGTTTGGTAGTCTTGACTCGTGGGCACACCTGTGAAGGCGGCTAGATCATACCGTGAGGTCCGAATCAATGGACCCAACTCCTAGCCATGGGTTCTTCCGCCAGCACGGAATGTGCTGTGTGCTGGCCAAGGACGCCATTCAGCACCGCGTCCACATCCTCAGAATACCCGTCTTCGAGGTAGTAGCCAGAGGCCACAATCTGCCGAAAATGCGACTCGAAGATGTCCAAGGTTTCCCTGCGCATGTCATGGTCAGCCGACATGATGTGATCAACAATGATCGCTGGCAGGGCGCGCTGCGCGACGGCGGCAGAATGACTTGAGCTGCTATGCTTAAAGCAGCGATGAACAAGATCAGTGTATTCAAACGTGTAACCTTCAGCACTCTTCAATGACTTGCCTCTGCTTTGTCCATGAGTGTGATCATGTGTGCACGTGTATTGCTCAAGACATGCAAGCTCATGAAGATTTGTGCATATGTGCCAACTCTTACGCATAAGATTACCGTGATTATCGCGCACACCAAACATGCATCCATCGAAGTTGTACCCTTGCAAGTTGTGGCGTTTGATGAAAGCCAACACCGACGGCCAATGCCAGTAGCGACAACGACGGGAAAGCTCAAAGGCAACAAACGTTCTTGAGTCAAGGTGGTCACGCACGAGCCTTGCGAAGCTCTTGAAGAGTCTGGTAAACTCCTTTTGTTGCTCTTTTATGCGTTCCAATCCTTCCTCAGTTTGCTTGTTGACGTTTCCCCATGGGCTCCCGCCCGTGCAGGGCAAACTGCCGTACAGCAGTACCTTTGCTTTTGGGTGCTGTTGTTTGAAGGTGTTGATTTCTTTGTCAAGCCACCTCATACACTTGCTTGTGGTTGCATCTTCGTTGATGGTGACGCGTATGACTTTACATCCTTTCGATTCGCTGCGCGTTTGCCCAAGCTTA